CCATTATACATACTATAGGATGAAGCAAATAATTGTGTTACTATTGCTAGGAACTAAGATTTTCACTAAGAGAAGAGATACAACAATGTAATATCAAAGAAGTAAAAATTGTGTAGTCCTAGGAAATAGCAGCATAATTTATTAAAGATTTATTTATAATTTTAGAGAGAGAGGGGAGGGGCCAAGGGAGAGGGGAAGCAGACTCCCCACTGAGCGCAGAGCCAGACACACATGGGGCTTCATCCCAGGACCCTGAGATTATGACCTGAGCTGAAATCAAGAGTTGGACACTCAACCGACTGAGGCACCCAGTCATCCCAATAATATATTATTAACACTATGACTACTAATTTTTTTTTTTTTTTACAGTTCTTTTTGTCCTTAGATTTCATTTCTAGTCCTTCTGGGATGCACCAGTTACTGTTTTCAAGTCACCTGAAATGATTCTTTTTAAGTTATGTTTATTTAATTTTGCTTTTGATAAAATAATTACATGGTCCCAAAGTCAAGGACACAAAGCAAGGTATGTTCAAAGAAGTCTAGCTTCTCCCCCTGCCCTGTCCACCCTGTCCTTACCTCACCCTCACCCTGTTTATGCCCCTAAGTGTGCATGCATGTATGTGTGCATGTGTGTGTGCGTGTGTGCATGTGTGTGTGCATGTGTGCCTGCATGTGTGTGTGCATGTGTGCATGTTTAGTAAAAGTAAAGACATCTGTATATTCCTAGGCCCCCTGTTTCTTGAAAAATGGGAGGCCATCACACACTTGATTACACCTTGCATTTTTCTTTAACAGTTTCTCTTGGGGCCCATTCCGTGGCAATTTTTGAGTTCCTCTTGCCCTTTTCCAGCTCTATGGTCCTCCAGGGTGGGATGTACATACTTTATTCAACCAGTTAGTGCTCTGCCAGTGGACACTGGGGCAGTTCCCAGCCCGTGCTTTCATGGTAGTGTGGTGGTAAGCAACTGGCACATTCATCTTTCCAAGTTGCTGGCCCAGTGTCTTTGAGATAGGTCCACAGAAGAGGTAATGCTGGCTCCAAGGGTAAATCTATACGCTTTTTGTTAAGTTTGATATATTAATTTGCCAACCTCCCTTTCAACAACAGTGAGAGTAGACTGGTTCACGCGAAATGCATATTTGCAAGACTTGTACCCAGTTGGGTGTCCCTGTGTGTTAACCAGTGTCCTTGCTTGACCCTTGAGCCCCTGGTTAGTAGCTGGTCACAGGAGCCCGGGCTCACTGACCAGGCACAGACAAGGAAGGGATGGGACTATGCTGAGTTAGAACCAGGAACCGGGGCCATTTTGATGCCACGTGTCCCTTGGTCTTTCATTTCTTCTGTATTCTTCTAGGTCATTTCTTTGGATTTATGAGGACATATCTGTATTTGTGAATGTGTACATGTCTAGATGTGTCAGACATCAAGTTTCAATAACCCATCAGTAAGTGCCTTTTGATTACAGGTCAACACACCCTCAGTTCCTTCTTCAAAGACAGATATTTATTGAGTGGCTGATAAGTCCTAAGTGGACATTAGAGGTGTCAGAACAATCTCTTCACCCTTCCTGGGCTTCAGCGTTATTTCCACAAGGGTGAAACTGGAAATGATTAGAAAACAACAGGGCCACAGGTGATGCGGATAGGAATTTCAGGCTGAGGAAGGGATGCATCCCTGGGCTCAAGTATCCCTTTTTCTCTCAGATCTACTTTGGGAGACTGTTGCTCACAGTTAAATATTCCCCAACTTTTCAAAAAGATGTTATTTATTTACTTATTGGAGGGGAGGGGCAGAGGGAGAGAATTTCAAGCAGACTCCACATTGAGTGTGGAGCTCAACGCAGGGCTCCATCTCACAACCCTGAGATCATGACCTGAGCCAAAATCAAGAATTGGACACTTAACCAACTGAGGCACCCAGGTACCCCGATATTCCCCAACTGTTTAGACAGTACGGTTGCCTCTCTAACTTGCTCCCCATTCTCTCCAGGTATATGGAGGGGAAAGTTGAGTGGAATTAACCCACTACTCCTTGGCAGAGACATTGGTTTAGCACTGGTCAGCCCAGCCCGAGCCACCCAGCACACAGTGTTCCCCTGGTCAGAGTGTGTTCAGAGATGGAAAGACAATCCAGATTGACCTAATCAAAACAAAAGAAAGCCCAGGACCATGCTTTGACTGGGGAGTGGTGTCAGCACCAAGAAGGCCTCTCTCCTCTAGAAGTGATGGTATGCCAATGTTAAGCCTACAACTGCTACATTTCGCAGCAAGGGATGAAAACTAGCCTGGGGAGAAAACCAACCCAAGAGAATAGCAGACAAACAGCCAAAGTCTTGATCAGACCGTACCTGAAACCTATCTTACTACTGGACTAGTTCAGTAAAGAGACAAATTTCCTTTATTATATAGGTCAGTTTAAAAATTTATTTGAGAGAGAGAGAATGAGAGCACGAGAGGGAAGAGGGTCAGAGGGAGAAGCAGACCCCCCTGCTGATCAGGGAGCCTGATGTGGGACTTGATCCCGGGACTCCAGGATCATGACCTGAGCCGAAGGCAGTCTCTTAACCAACTGAGCCACCCAGGCGCCCATAGCTCAGTTTAAATGAGTTTTCTGTTACTTGTAGCCAAAATGGGCTTCTTATGTTTTCCATCAACTTACTGAGTGATAGGGAAAAAAGCAGCTTCTCAATAAAATGGTTTAAAATTACTATCAAATATCAACAGTTGTATCACTCAAGTACCTATATCTTTGTGTTTCCCAGGAAAAATCTTCACAGATCACCTTTGTGATCCAGCCCGCTGGGCTGGGAGGTGGAAGGGGTGGAATTGTATGGGAGGTCATTTTAATGTGCTCCTCCCCCCCTGCTTCCTTCTCGGAGAGCAGAGGAGTGAATTCCCCCACGCTGATAGGAAGGCACTGAGCACCTTCCAGTGCTTTTGTAATCCCTCTAGATGAGCAATCAGAGCCTAAAGTTGGAGGGTGCAGAGAAGAAACGGTGCCACCAGCATGAACTGGTGTGGCTCAAGAGACTGGACGTTGCTGGCCAGAGCCCAAGGAAAGACCCAGCATAAGCTGGGTGATGCCCGTGTTCTGTTTGGTGCAAAACCCGGTGCCCGTCCTGATGTTGGCCCCCATCTCTCCCACCTCACTGTGAGTGCCAGGCTCTGTGCTGAGCCCTAGCACAAGGTAGGTACTCTGATCCCTGCTTTGCTGAATAATGAGGAAACTGAGGCAGATTGTTATTACTAAGGCAAAAGATACATTTTTAAAATGAAATGTTAGCCCAGCACAGGAGGCACTCCATAAATATGCATCAAGTGAGTGAATGTTACCTATTTTCCTGGGGTTGCAAAAGCTGATAACTCATTAGTGCCTTTCTTCATCCAGGGCTATTTATAGCAGCTACTCCGCACCAGGCCCTGGGGAGACAGAGGTCCTGCGCTCATGGAATTCAGGTGGGAGACATAGGCAGTGAGCCAAGAACTGAATGTCGTGGGTAGGTGTGCATGAGGCAGGCATGGGGGGCTGCCTGGTCTGGGAGTGTTGGGAGACCCTCCTAAGGAGCCACCATTGTGACAGCCGAGCTTGAGAAGGAACGGCTGGACCCAGCTGGCGGGCGCAGTGTTTCAGAAGGAGGAAGAGCAGGTGCGCCCAGCCCTGAGGGAGAAGCCTGGTGTATAAGAGGAAATCAAGGCCGGCAGAGCAGGAGCAGAGTAAAGGGGTGGGGGCAGGGTGTAGAGGAGCATGGGCCAGATAGACAGGACCTCCTGCATTTTAATCCCAAGAGCAAGGGTCCTGAGCTTTGTGATTCAAGAAATAAGCACTTTATTCCTTAACCTGGTGGTAAAGACACCTTTGTATAGTATTCTGCATAATTATTTGAATGTCTGTGATATTTCCTAACAAAGAGATGAGATTGTGTCAAAATTGCTCTCAGTACAGTGTGGGGAGCAGGTCTGAGGAAGACAAGAGTGGACTTGGAGAGACTGTTACAAGCAAGAGACAGTGGTGACATGGCCTGGGGTAGTTGTGGTGAAGACAAGAGAAGATGTACTCCCGTGACATTGGGAGGCAGAATTGTAGGGCTTCACGTGAGTCATCAGGTGGGGGGTAGGGAAGAATCAAGATCCTTTTTTTTTTTTAAGATTTTATTTATTTATTTGACAGCGAGAGAGCACACGAGCACAAGCAGGGGGTGTGGCAGAGAGAGGGAGAAGCAGACTCCCCACTCAGTGGGGAGCCCAAAGTGGGGCTCAATCCCAGGACCCAGGGATCACGACCTGAGCTGAAGGCAGACGCTTAACTGCTTACCCGACAGAGCCACCCAGGGGCCCCTCAAGATCCTTTTCTAAAATGAAAAGCCACGTGCCTAAAAGTTCTATTTCCATTGGAAAGACAACAGGCATTAAAACACAGTGCTGACTAGTGGGGACCCTGGGACAGACAGAACTGGCTTCAGATTCACCAGCAGTGATGTGAGGCAAGTCAGTCAGCCTCTCTGAGCCTCCATTTCTTAAACATGTTCAGCGGTTGCGAGGATTGCATAAGGGCGTGTGCACAGAAAGCATTTCCTCACACAGTGCCAGGCACACATGAAACAACCAGTCAGTGGAAGGGCTCCATCTGGTTATTACTGAAAATCTAGATTTTTTAACACCCAAGTTGGTGGCAGGATCTTGGTTGGATCCCAAGTCACCTAGTTCAGCCACTGGTTCTCAGACTGGGTGCCATGGGACTCCCCTGCAGTGCTTGACAGAAATACAGCGTCCTGGCCTCGCCTCTGGAGATTCTGATTTGGAAGTTGGGGCCCAGGAATGTGTGGTTTCATCGAGTTCAGTCCCAGAGTGATGCAGATACTGGGGTCCTTGGACCACACTTGTAAAGACCCTGTTCCAGGCCCTACTATAATAAAACACACCAATACTCCCCCAGCACCGCCCCTCCCCCCACCACTGCCCAGGTGGTGGTAAAAAGAGGCCTGACATCCCTACCTCTGTTAGTTACTCTTCTGGGGGCAGTGACGGGAACACCAATCAAACTGGCTGCAGCAGAAAGGGAATTTATTGGCCTGTGCAACTCACGTGTGCAGGGTAGCTCTGAGCACAGCAGGATGCAGCCTCCCTTTAGCCCTGAGATGCCTCTTCTGTCTGTGTTGGCCTGACCCCCAGGCAAGCCTTCTCCACATGCTGCCCCCCAGGCCCAGGCTCACCCATCCTTGCAAATGGCAGTCCCAGCGGAGGAACTGTCAGCAAGGGGGCCCAGCCAGAGCCTCCCATGGAGCCCCACTGGCCTGGTTGGGTCAGCCACTCTCGAACCACACGGGCTGAAATTAGGGGACAGCTGACGTCTCCAGAAGAAGGGGGACAGGTGCCGAACAGGAAGAAACTGAAGATGGCCGCCACCCTCCAAAGGGGGGCTCCAATGAGAAATATCCCTACAAGCAGCTCTCACAGGCGTGAGCCCCCAATGGCCAGGGATGGTCAGGCTGTGGCCAGAGAGCACTTTGTAAGGTGCTACCCCGTGAAAGGAAGTTTTCTTCCAAACGGTTCTCAAGCCTCCAACCTCGGCTCCCAGAATGTCCTCCCTCTGCCTTTTCCTAACCCAGGAGATCCAGCTTCACTATCGCTTTCCCCGAGAAGCCTCCTCCCTCAGCTGCCCTGTGGCTTTCTTTGCCTTCTGTGTGCCTGTAACCGTAGCTCCCGGAGGCAGGGTGGGCTCAAGTCCTGCCCTGCCCCTTCCTAGCTGGGTGACCTTGAACAAGGGACTTCCTTCTCTGAGCTCTGTTTCTCTCATCCGTCCGGTACCTGGCCCTTTGCCGACGCGCTCTCTGCACTTCCTCAACCATCAGAGACTTTTTCCTCGGGGCACATGATGCCCTAAATAAAAGGCACGTTTCTCATGGTCCCTGGCAGCTGGGTGTCCTGGGACTAAGGGGCTCCCCATGGGGTGGGAGCCACAGTGTCAGAGGCTGTCTGAAGGGATGGCTGGCATGCATCTGTCGTCTCTTGCCGGCGCATACCCTCAGTCCTGCTGCCTGAGATGCACACACTGCCACCTTTGACCCGGAGGAAGGCCCCGGGAGTGGCAGAGCGGTGACCCGAAGCCACTCTATAGAACAGAGCCACCGTACCTGCCCTGCAAGTCAGGCCTCCAGCCTTTGGCATGAGAAGTAGCTTCTGGTTTGTTTGAGCCATGATGATTTGGGGCGCTCTCTTACAGCAGAACGTCACCCGAACTCAGAGTCCCTGCCTCCCAGGGGTTGTTGTGGAGGTTAAATGAGAGGATGTGGTTAAGAGGCCCGGCACGGGGCCCGATGCACAGTAGGCGCTACCTGGAGCGGGTGGCTGTTCTGTCCTCCCAGTTATTCTAACCGTCCACTTCGTTGTGCCTCACGCACATGAGCAGGTTGTTGGCTGTCTGCCTCCCGCCTTGCGGTGGGCACCTTCACACCAGGGGTTTGTCTTCTCTCTCTCCCTCAGCTCTGGCCTGGTTCCTTGGATGCCAACAAAAGAAACCAGCTCCGGCTGATTATTGGCAGACCGCGAGGTTCCCACAGGCTGGTGGGGGAGGCCGAGACCCAGGCTTGGCACAGACAGGCAACCCCAGCCGCAGAGCAGCTGCACGGCAGATCCCACCCTGATGGGAGCAGATGCCAACTTTTGTGGGGTCTCCCTGCGTCTCTCCCCCTGGCCCTGTTTGGGGCATATGCCCACCTCTCAGAAGAGGGGACACCTTGGTGAACACTTCCACCAGACCGGACCCAACAGGACTAAGTTCATTCCCCAAAAGGAAAGTGAAATGGCCACTGAGCAGCAAACGTCCCAAGTATGATCGGGGTCTGGATGCTCCTGGAAGTGAGGAACAAAGACCCTGACCCAACACGAGTGAACTGTATCGCCTCTCAAAAACGGACGTCTGCACGTGGCTGCTCAGGGTGAGTGGATGGGTGGATGGTGAGTGGCAGCATCCCTGGGGCCCAGGTACTTTCCACGCCGGGCTCCGCCCTCAGGCTATGAGCAGGAGCTCCAGACCTGAGGAGGAGGAAGAGAGGAGGGCCCCTCCTGCTCCGCTCCTGGAAAGAGGACACTTCCCAGAGGCCCCAGCACATACTCCCCCCGGGTCTCACTGGCCACAGCACTGCGTCATATGCCCTTTCTGTAAACATAATGGCAAGGACGGATGGAATCACCAAAATGGGTTTGGACTAATCTCCTGAGTGGAAAGAAGTTGGGGGTCAATCCCAGGTCTGCTTCTGGGCCGATGTGGGACCCATCTGGTCGAACGTGCTCCAGCGGGCCAGGAAGGCTGAACCACATTGTTGAGTATTTTCCATGAGTAACCAGCAGGTGGGACAAGGCAGTGCTGCTCAATCCTTTAGTTTGAGGCTCTGCTCACCAACATGAGCGTCAGAATATAGTTCCAGGGTCCTCTGCCCTCGTCTTCCCAATGTTAAGCCTCACCCTCATCAACAGGCAGGGAAGATTCCAGAGGCCTGGAGAACTCGGCTCGCAAACATTAGCACCCCCTGCTCCTGCGGCAGGCAGGTAAGGAGTCCATCGAGAGCCCCGCCGTGGAGCACACTTCCTGCTCCAGCTCGGCCGCTCAGCAGCTGCGTGGCCTTGTACTTAACCTTCAGAGACTCTATCTTCTCCATGGAGTGGGGACAAGATGCTCGGCACACCTTAGCCCGACATTCTTCTATTCTAGGGACCATCTAGGCTAGGGGCTCTGTGTGGGCCCTGCCAGACCTCCCACTGTGGTCCCCTCTCTCGGCTCCCTTTCATGAGCAGCCACTGTTCCCTGTGGTTCCTGTGTCTCTTCTCCATGTGCCTCCTTCTCTGCACTGTCCCTCCCTGTCGGCCCACTCCCCTCAGCTTCTGACACGCTCACATTTCTGTCTTTCTGGACCACTGGCCTCCTGGCCTCCAGGACCCACACACCTTTGGCTTTTCCTTCTTCCTCCGGTTACCCTTTGTGGTCCCTCTGCAGGCTCCTCCTCACCTGCTCAACCTCTAGCTCAGCACTGGGCCCTTTGTCCACACCACACCCCAGGGTCAACCTGGCTCAGGGTTTTCAGCACTAGCTCTGTGCTGATGACCCCCTCAAAGAAAAACCCCATGTGTCTCTCCACATTCCATACTTACTTTTGTTTTAACAAACGTGTGGGTTTTCCACACCCAGGAGTTCCAGCACTAACTGCCTGGAGTTAGTGCAAACCCCACAGGTTAAGTGCTGTCCCACAAGACCCTGCAACACCCCCCCACACACACCACTTCAGACACCATTTGAAAGTCCAGGTTTTCACCTGGGCCTCTTATAAATCAGAGGTTCCTATGACCCCTCCTCGGGTTCGATAACTTGCTAGGATGGCTCACAGAACTCAGGAAAACAGTTTACTTACAATTAAGGATTTATTCTAGGACCCAACACACAAACAGACAGATGGAAGTGATGCACAGGGCAAGGTATTGGGGGGTGGTGTGCAGAGCTTCCAGGCCCTCTCCAAGCTTATCATCTTCCCAGCACCTCCACCTGTTCGCCTGTCAGGAAACTCAACTCTTCCGCTTAGAGTTCTGACTGGAGACTCCACTGTGCACGCACAGTTGATTCAATCCCTGGCCACCAGTGACTCAGGCAGCCTCCAGCCCCTCTCCCCTCCCCCAGAGGCTGGGCGGGGGTGGAAGGAAGGCAAGGTAGAGTGGGACTGAAAGTTCCAGACCCTGGCAGCCAGCCCCCCATTCTTTCCAAAAGTCACCTCATTCACATACACTCAGGTGTGTTGGAAAGGGGCTTGTTATGAATAACAACGGATGCTCCTTTCATCTTTATCACTCTGGAGGCTTTTCAGGAGCTGAGGACAAAAAACAACTACAAATTGCTCCTAGTACTCTTATCACTTAGGAAATTACAAGGGTTTTAGGCGCTCTGGTCAGGAGCCATGGACGAAGACCAAGATATTTCTTCTATCACAACATCACACCCCAAATCCCTCTGCCAAGTTCCAGACTCAAATCCTACTGCCCACATGACCCCTCCACTTCGACAGTTCAAATGTGATCACAAACAGCTGGGTTGACCCTTCCCAGATTTTCCGTCCCAGCGAACACTTGGGCCCTGCACACTCGGGCGCCTCCCCCTCCACGTCCAATCCACACGTGGTCCCGGTCAGTCACGTATCCGGTATCTGTTCTACCTCCCAAATCTGTGCCCATTTTTCCATTCCTCCTCCCAGCACACTAGTTCCAGCCATTATCTGGCCTGCACTCCCACTTCTGCCTTCCCCGAGATCTACTCCAGAGCCAGCCACCAGAGTTACCTCAGGAAAAGCAAACTGTATCAATGGAAGAAAGAGTAAGCAAACTATGGCACTGCCACACAACGGAATATTCAGCCATAACAGGAATGAAGTACTGATCCATGCCACAACATGAAGGAACCTCAAAAACATGCTGAGTGAAAGAAGCCAGTCACAAAAGGCCACGTACTGTATGACTCTGTATATAGAAAGGTCCAGAACAGACAAATCCAAAGAGACAGAAAGGTCAGTGGGAACTTTGGGCTGGAGGGGAGTGGGGATGGAGACCAACTCTTTAATGGGTACCAGGTATCCTTGTGAGATAACAGAAAAGTTCTGGAACTGAGTAGTGGTGAGCGCTGTCCAACATTGTGAATGTACCGAATGCCACTGACTGTGTACTTCATAATGGTTATGTTATGTGTATTTTACCACAATAATTTAAAAATCAAACTGTGTCCCTCCCCTGCTTAAAATTCCCATGGCTTCTTGCACTTCACAGGAACTCCAGTGCTTCCTGTTGGCCCCTGCTCTCCTCTCTGACCTACTTCTCACCACTCTGCCCCTCCTACCATGTTGGGATAATTCTGGCCTCCTTTTGGTTTCTCACTAAGCCAGGCTCTTTCCCACCTCAGGCCCTTTGCACATACTGTTCCCACTGCTTAGAAGGCTTTCCCCTCCTTTCATGATTGGCTCTACCTCAGTTTTCAGTGTTAATTTGAATGCCACAGAGAGGCCTCCCCCAACCATCCTACCTCAGTGGGACCTCCTCTCTCTCCCCACCACTGTTAATTCTCTGCCATAACCCCCTGGTTAATTCTTTCATAATACCACCATTGGGTGTTTGTGTGCTTCCCTACAGAGAGTAAGTTCCATGAGAGGAGGTGGGCTCTGTCTGTCTCATTCACCTCTGTGTTCTCAGTGCCCAGCACACAGTTGGCACTCAGACGCTATTTGCTCAATTAATGAAAGATCACCCAGCTAGCAAGGGAAGGGATGGAGGCAGGATTTAAACCCAGGTCTCTTTGATGCCAACTCTTCTGTTCTTTCTACTTCTCCACATGATTCTGAACCATATATGTACGAAGCAGAAGCTGGAACCGAGTATCAGAGAAGGGGGTCAGAGTTAGCCATGACCTTTTAACGTAGCTATGTGATCACATACAGGTATGCCAGCCTTGTGTGGCTGTCACCAGCTCTAGATGAATCACATCTTCTGGCGCAGCAGCCTCTGGACCCAGATGGCAGATGTAACTCTGGAAAATCCAAACAGGGCCCCGGCTGAAATCTCACGGACTTCTCTCCCTTCCTTTCTGCTTCCTCGCATTCTCCTAGAGCCAGGACCTCGCATCGCCCTAGAAAGGGAAGCGGTCAACTGTCACAGCTGAAAACACCGGCTCGGAGGAACCAAAACCAGCAGAGGCAGCCCCGTCTCTTCCACTGGGTCAAGCCAGAATGAGCCCATGCCCTAGCCCAGTGCCAGCTCTCCTGGGCCACAAGCAGACCAGAGCCAGGGGCCATGCCATGACCTTCCTCAGAATGCTCCATGAACATCAAAAGGCGGGCACCCAGAAAGCTCCTGGGACGGTGACGGACTTGTCCTTGAGCAAGCTGGGCTTACTGCTTGATAAGAAAGGTGCAGTGGGGGGCAGGGACTCCCTTGTGCAAGGGGACTGCGTTGGCATTTCTCAAACCAGAGAACAAGTCCTTCCTCTAAAGCGGGAGTTCCTACTCCTTTTTTATAACATGGGTCTTCTTCTCCGGGGGAATGTTTTTAAATGTATAATATAGAATGCCTTGCATTACAAAAGACCCATTATCTTGAAATGCAGTTACTGAATTATTTTTTAAATTGTCATAAATATATGAGAGCTAACGGCTGGTTTAGTAACTACAGTAATTTCAAAGCAGAGGTGAGTATAAGCTATATTTTAAAGTATCTGCAATAACTGTCTTGTGATCTGAAGACATCTGTGATCTCGATTGATGACAAAGCCGTGGGTCCTGCTAATACAAGTATGGGCTGTTACCTGCATTCATCATGGAAGGAAATGCTCAATTTCAGTTAATGAAAATAAAGTAATTTTTCCCATCCTAAATGACCAGCCTTAGACTCTCTGGACCATAGAGAAACATGCCTGAGCCTTGCCTCCCCAACTCACAGGGGAGCTCTCTGAGAACGGCGCTGCTCCTTCATCTTCTATTAAGTGTCTGGAAAGGGCCTGCCTACCACACAGCAGGCATCCAACATGACCCTTTGAGTCTCTTGGATCTTCTAGGCAGATAATCACATAGACTGCAGATGAGAGATTTTCTCTTTTTAGTCTTTGTCCTTCTCACTTCCTTTCTTGTCTCACCACATTAGCTGGGGTCTTCTGTACAATGTTGAACAGAAGCAGTGATGGTGGGCACCCTTATCTTATTACCCTCCATATTCACTTACTAATTTATTCAGTAGAGATGTAAAGCACCTACTATGTGCCAGATATGACAAAATTGAGATCTTTTCCTGTCCAACTGAGAAGACCGAGCAGTAGAGGCATTCTGTGGACAGAAATATTGAGAACATCACTAAATTCTCCCTACTTGCTAACCTGCTCTCTTAGGATCCTGATTCCTCAAAAGTATGGAACTAGGTCCCTGCTGGTGGTCCCAGTCTCCAGGGCACCAGTAAGGTTGGCAGGCGCGGGCTGCCCCAGGACCGCGGCAGGGCAGGGCAAGGAGGCAGCACACGGAAAGGATGATGAGAGATGCCTCCAGCAGGGGTCCGCCAAAAGATCAGGCCAGGGGCACGGCTTGAGCCTTGCCCTCTTAGGGCCTGTTGAGGCCACCACCTGTCTGCCCTAAGCTGGTAACTACAGGCAGGAGCAATTGTTAAAGCCAACGGAAAGAGCGTTGCAGCTTTAGGGTGGGCAATTAGGGGAGGAGATACCTGATACCTGTTCTCTCCACCTCTTCCCACTCCTGAGGGAGTGGATGCAGAGACCAGACCAGTGCACACATCCTCTCCACTCTGTCCAGCTGACACTGGTAGAGGAGGGATATTTTTAGTCAAATATAAGATTGACATTTAAAATGGACCAGACTTAGGGGTGCCTGGGTGGCGAAGTCTGCTCGGGTCATGATCTCAGCGTTGTGAGACTGAGAGTCTGCCTGAGATCCTCTCGCCCTCTGCTCTTCCCCCCACCCTCAAATAAATAAATATTTAAAAAAAAAATAAAATGGATCAGACTATGGCTTAAGGACTGGAGTAGGAATGTTGCAATAACAAAATGTGACTGAGAAGTCAGATGAGACAGATTTTTTTTTTTTTTTAAGAGAGGGAGCGTGAGCGTGGGGGGTGGGGAGAGGGAGAGAGAGAATCCTCTAGCAGACTCCTCGCTGAGCACAGAGCCAGACACAGATGGGGCTTGATCCCAGGACCCTGAGATCGTGACCTGAGCCAAAATCAAGAGTCCAGTGCACAACCAACTTAGCCACCCAGGCTCCCCCAGACTGAGATGTTTTAAGAAAGCCTACTGCCCTACAGGAGGGGGGAGGGGCGGGATTGGGAAAAGCCGACTTGGTGGAAGCCAATGGAAACGTTACCGCTGTGATAGGCAGACAACAGGCCCCCCAAAGATGTCCCCATCCTACCCCCCAGGACCTGTGAACATGCTACCATACCTGGCGAAAGGGACTTTGTGGGTGTAATGAAGTCAAGGCTGTGGAGACGGTTGTCCAGGTGGGTGCAATGTCATCGCAAGGGTCTTTTCAGGAGGGAGGGAGAAGGGTCAGATCTAGAGATGAAAGCAGAGGTGAGAGGGAAGCCACCAGCCGCTGAGGAATGCAGGCCACCTCTGGCAGCTCCAAAAGGCAAGGATCCGCCCCCCCAGAGCCTCCAGAAGGAACAAAGCCCTGCCAACACCTTGATTTTAGCCCTATTAAGACCATTTAGACTATTGACCTCCAGAGCCCTAAGGTAACAAATTTGTGTGTTAAGCCACTGGGTTTGTGGTAACCTGTTAGAGCAGCAATAGGGAACTGAGACAACCGGCAGGATTGAGACTCCTCCTGCCCCCAACTAAACCAGAAGCAGGGAGATGCGTAGGAGAGGGCCTCCACCCTGAGGTTTGGGACAAATGGTCTTTTTGGAAGACAGAGGCTAACGGAAACGGATTCCAGGACAGTGCCAGAAATGAAGCATGAGCAGAGTGCTGGGGAAGCCCCAGGAGGAGAGGGACGGTGAAGCTGGGCCTGGAAGGAGAGGAGGAGTCAACCCGAGCAACGGGGCTCAGCCTCAAGGCAGGAAGGCTCGTTCCTCTAGCTCAGAGACCTCCTCCCCCCATTCCAGGGTGGCCTGCGGGCTTCAAGGTTGGCCATCGCTTTAGGACATTCTGCCCGCTCTCCAACCTCTGCACGGCAGATACAGTGCAGAGGACAAGCAAAGCCACTCAGAGCCACCCCTAAGTGAACAAACAGGACCGGGTGCCGCCGGACATCAGGCCCAGCTTCCCCGAGCGTGTGTGTGGTGGGGAGGGGAGTGGATCCGCCCCACTCCGTCCCGCAGGAGGAAGGAAGTGGTTTCCTCCTCCCACCCCTTCCCTCAGGCTAGCCGGGGCCAGGATTCTCGTGATTCGCGATTGGCTCCCACGGGCGGGACCTTTGTCCATCTGCCGGAGCCCAGGAGGCCCAGGCCAGGCCCCGGGCCTGCGGAGCGGGAGGGGGGCGGGGGAGGAGGCCAGCCAGAGACCAACAGGGACACAGGCCAGGGCAAGGGCGCTGAGACAGGCAAGAGTCCGGGACCGTAGCACTCGCAGGGTTAGAGGGCGGCCGGGGGGGCGGGGCGGGGGCCGGGGGGAGGGGCAGGGAGGAAGGGGCGGGCGGGGCGGGCGCCGAGCTCGGAGTTGCTGCGGTGGCCGCCGGCGGGAGGGGTGCAGGGTAAGTGCTCCCCGGCTGTTGGCGCGCCGCCCCTATCCCGAGCCCCCCCCAGGAGCGGACCCTCACCCCCGCCTCGGGCCCTCCGCCGCCGCCCCCCGTTGCCCTCTGTTCCAGCGTCTAACAGCCCCGCCAGCGCGGGCGGACTGCCCCCCCCCCGGGGACCCCCTGCCCTGTGCAGGGCGTACTAGAGTCAGGTGCAGGAGCAGGACAGGAGACCGCGTGCCACGGGTCTTGGAGGGAAGCCCCTCTTGGCCTCAGTTACCTCCCCTTGAAAACGGGAGCGTTGAGAAGCATTTGTATGGCGGGCTTAACCTGGAGACAGGTGCCTTCATCACCCGCTGAGCGCAGCAACAGGTGAGGTAAGTACCATCCTTGTCTCCCTCTTACAGGTGAAGAAACCAAATCTCGGGCCAAGCCACTTGCCTTGGGTCACCTAGCCAAAGGAGGCAGAGCCAGAACTTACACCCAGGTCTGTGTGAACCCCTAAAACCTTTTATTCATCATCCCTGCCCCCCCCAGGGAGACTGCAGGGGGAGAAGTGAGGATAGAGGTAGTACTGGGTATCCCAGGAGGTGGCTTAACCTCAAGGGCAGCAAATCCTTCACCTGGGGGGCCGCGTCTGCCTTTGGCTCAGGGTACGGTCCCGGGCTTCTGGGATGGAGCTCCGCATCGGGCTCCCTGCTCCGCGGGAAGCCTGCTTCTCCCTCTCCTGCTCCCCCTGCTTGTGTTCCCTCTCTCGCTGTGTCTCTGTCAAATAAATAAAATCTAAAAAAAAAAAAAAAAATCCTTGGGAATACTTTTAAACTCTCAGGTCTTGGGGCGCCTGGGTGGCTCAGTCGTTAAGCGTCTGCCTTCGGTCCAGGTCATGATCCCAGGGTCCTGGGATCGAGCCCTGTGTCGGGCTCCCTGCTCAGAAGGGAAGCCTGCTTCTCCCTCTCCCACTCCCCCTGCTTGTGTTCCCTCTCTCGCTGTGTCTCTCTCTGTCAAATAGATAAATAAAATCTTAAAAAGTAATTAAAAAATAAACACATCTTGGGGCAAGGTGTGCTGAGGAATGAGAATGGTGGGTTGGGGACAGTTGAAACTCCATGACACAGAGGTGCAGCCACCCCACAGGAACTTACAGATCTCTAGGCAGCACCTCTGCTGGGTGCAGGGGCTTTTGCACGCTTAGCCATAGGACTTCACCTCTCCATACCTCCGTTCCCTTAACTGTCCCATGGGGTTAAGCATGGTACTTAGCTCACAGCATTGCTGAGATGAAGTGAGATGCTTGGTATAAAGGCTGAGCCCAGCCTCTGGCCCAAGGTTACTACGGAGCTCTGCCCCACCCACACCCCCAGCTCCTTCCAGCCCCTCTGAAAGCACTCCTTTGTCCCAAACACTTTTAACCTCAGGTCCGTCAGGGCTATCTGAGATCTGCAGTATTTCCGGACAGCCCCACCAGCAGCTGGAAGCTTCTTGAGTAAGACCAAATGTGGCAGCAGCAACTTCTCACACTCTTGAGTCCCTGGGGGAAAGATTAGTAGGAGCAGAGTTTTGAAAATCTTTGGGCTGAGGCTCGCACAATTCCAGAACCACTCTGCAGTCCCCAAGCCCTCCGCAATCACTGGTTTAAGCAAGAAGGAGGAAGCCCACACTCTTACAGCCCCAAGACCTGCTCCTCCTCTCATCCCCCACATCTAAGCCCACAGCAGCTTTTACTCCTCCGCATGTTCTGCATCTGGCCATTCCTCTGCATCCCCATCATCTTTTGCCTCCTCTTGGCCTCCCTGCCACCACCCTTGACCCCTAGATCTTCAGCATTGCCTCCCAAGCCCTCTATGAGATCAGACTCTTGTCTCCTGCCACCATTCTCACACTACATGTTCCCTGCAGACACACTGACCTCTTTCTTCCTTGGACTTGCTGAGGTTTCGGGGAGGGGAGTTGCCCTCTTAGGGCCTGTGCACATGGTCTTCCTTCTCCAGAGAATGCTCTTCCCGGCCATCTTCTTGTGACTTACCTCTTTGCATTTCAGGGACCACTGTTCAAGTTGCCTTCTGGAGTCTTCCCTGACCACTACACCCACAGGACCCACACTCGCCTGCTCTCTTACTGCATGACTCTTTCTCTTTCTTCCCATGCTTAGGCTCGGGGGATGTTACCTTACTTACGTTCCTTGTTTGTCTACCCAGCTAAACTATCCATCTAGCAGGGTTCTGACCTCTTTCTTCGTTACTTCGGGTTCCCTCAGAACCCAGCACAGTGCCTGGCATGTAGTAAATGTTTCAATTATGTTTTACAGTTGCCAGTGGTGTGCACAACCATCAGGGTTCTACCTGTCATTGTTTAACAGCCTGCTTTCTGTATTTCTACATAGACCTCAGAATTGTCATTCCTTCTAACAGCCCACTGCCTTCCTCCACTGTTCTCTAAAGTGGGGCTTATGGGGTCTTTCCAGGTTCTAGCCATCATATCCAAATTAGCTTGTCCACATTGTACCTGTAATTTGCTACGAAATGATTTGAGATAACAGTTCCCAAACTGATGTGTTCAAGTCAAGAGTATGATTGTTTGGAAGGCACTTGCCACCTAGCACCTGAAGGCTGTTGAAGAAAAACAATGCCTGGCAGTGTGTGCAAGTTTCCCTACAGCCTCACAAGCACTGAGTTTTAACACTTTTGTCTAGTTTAATGGAAAGGTCATGTATGTATCTTTTAATTTTCTGTTGCTTGAATTAGTGAAGCTGGGCGTTTTTCTATAAATGTGCTCGTTCTATTTCCTGTCTTGTGGAAGGAAATCTCCAGGGCACCTTAATTGCTCCCTTCACCTTTGCTTGTGCTAAAGGTTCCACTTGAGACTGTCTCATGAGAGCAGGGTGAGGGCCCCCAGGGGCTAGAACAGGAACACACTGAGCTGAACTCTGCTGGTTGCAGAAGCTGTTCTGCCAGTCAACCAGCAAGAAACCCTTTGAGAGTCCCTTGTGCCCGCAGCATGGTACTGAGGAGAGAAAGAACTTTTTTTTTAAGTCTTTGTGAATAATTTTTTCAAAATGATAATTTTTTCTTAAATTATAAAAGCACATGGTGTGTACGGTTACTCATTGGGGCAGCAAAAGTTTGGGAAATAATCTAAATTCTGATCACTAGCGGGACTACACACATTCCTACAGGGAAACCTTGTGGAGTCATTCCAAGGAGTGCATTTGATCTAGGATGCACTGATCCAGAACAATCGGAAATACTGTATTAGTCTCTGATGGCTGCTATAACAAATTACCACAAATTGGATGGCTCAAATCAACATAAATTTGTTACCTTACAGTGCTGGGGATCAGACATCCAAAATCCATTTCGGTGGGCCAACACTGAGGTGTTCGCAGGGCTGCGTTCCTTTTGGAGGCTCTAGGGTAGAACCTGTTTCCATTCCAACTTTTAGAGGCTGTCCACATTCCTTGGATTGTAATCCCTTCCCTATAACTTCTGCTTCTGTACTCACATATCCTTCTGTCTCTGATTCTCCTGCTCTACTCATAAAGACCCTTCTGATTACATTGGGCCCACCTGGATAATCCCCATCTTGGGATCCTTCATCGAATTTCATCTGCAAAGTCCCTTTTGCCATGTAAAGTGACATATTCGTGGGTTCTGGGGATTAGGGCAGGTGCACCTTTGGGGGGGTCATTATGGAGCCCACCACACCCTAAAGGGAAGTAAGCAAGGTTCAGAGCAGAGTGTGTGGACTCACATTTGTTGAAGTTTAAAAGAGAGAAAGGGAGTAAATATGGATGTGCTTGCGAAGGCATAGGATACCCCGAAGGCCAAATAGGAAACTGGTAAGAGTGGCTGCTTCTGGGAAGAATGGGTAGAAAGGAGGCTTACTAGTCATAGTATATCTTTTTGAATTGTTTCAGTTTTTTAGTACATGCCTATGTCACCTACATTAAAATTAAATTTTAAGAAGTAACACATACTCATTGTAAAAGGTCAGACCTTCCAGAAGTGAAGGAAAATACCTACAAAAATCAGCCCCCCAGATCACTCCCTTTTTGTCCAGCAGTAATCACTGTAAAGAGTTTGGCTATATCCTTACAGACTTATTTTTAAAAATGCATATGTAGGGGCGCCTGGGTGGCTCAGTCATTAAGTATCTGCCTTCAGCTCAGGTCGTGGTCCCAGGGTCCTGGGATCGAGCCCCGCATCGGGCTCCCTGCTCCTCGGGAAGCCTGCTTCTCCAGACTCTCCCACTCCCCCTGCTTGTGTTCCTGCTCTCGCTGTCTGTCAAATAAATTAAAAAAAAATCTTAAAAAAAAAATTAAAATGCATATGTAATTTTTCACATAGATGGGGGTCATATTGTATATATTATGCTGCAAGGTGAATTTTTCTTTGTTTTACTATGTTGTTCACCTCCTTCCTCATCCACATACGAAGAAGATTTAACAACACTAGAGTTTCTCACTGCTCAGATATACCTAAACTGACTTAACCAGGCCCACACTGGTGGACATATAGATACTTTGCTGCTTTCCAGAGCATTCCCGACACTGTAATGTATGTCTATGTGTCTTTTTTTTTTTTAAGTTTAAACTGGAGTGAAATTCACATAACATGAAATTAACCATTTTACAACCCCGTGAACATTTAGTGAACAGTTTAGTGGCATTTAGTGCATTCCCAATGTCACATAACCACCACTTCTATCCAGTTCCAGAACATTTACATCAAACCAAAAGGAAACCCTGCATCCATTAAGCAGTCACTCCCTACCCGCCAACTCCCAGCCCCTGGCAACCACCAATCCACTTTCTGTCTCTGGGGATTTGCATATTCTGGGTATTACGTATCAGTGGAATCATGTAATATGTGAAGTTTTTATGTGGCTTCTTTGATTTAGTGTCATGTTTTAGGGGTTCATTCATGCTCTAGCACGGATCAGGACTTCGTTTCTTTTTATGGCTGGATGACATTCCATTGTATGGATAGAACATCTTTTATTTATACATTCATCCCCCTAATGGACACTCGGGTTATTTCCACCTTTTGGCTATGAATATTTGTGTATATGTATTTGAGTGCCTGTTTTCAATTCTTTTGGATATATACCAAGGGTATGCATCCTTCTGCATACACTTTGAGCTTTATGCTATTTTCAGACACTGTTAATGTAAGCAAGTTAAAAATAATTGGTAACAAAGTGTTGCAAAGCACATACCAAGACAAATGATAGCAGGATGTCAGATCTAGACAAATGTTTTCTTATTTTTCAGATCCAGAGAGGACAGGAAAATGGCCACCTGGGATGAAAAGGTAAATTAATTCTGGTGGACCAGCAGCATTAAAGGACCTTCCCAGGCTTGAAGACAATTCTGTTTGGTGTTTCAAACAGGATAAAGGGAAAACACCTGTTTGGGCTGTTTCTGCCCTACCAAAGTGTTTAGTCACAAAGGTGAAAACTATAGCAGGAATTCACAGACCTCAAGATAGCCTAATAACCTGAATCAGATCCTTCAAATCCCACCTCTGCATTTTAATAACCATGTGTCATGAGGCCCTGACCTTCACCTCGCTGAGACCTCCGTCTCCTTATCTGGAAGAGGGAGAGAAAATTATCCTTGTTCCTGAAGGCTTGTCACGAAGAGGTGAGGAGACCGTGGTCTCAAACTGCTAGGCTGATAGTCCACAAGTGGCTTTTCCCTACTGCCCATTTTACAGATAAAGACACTTGGGCCCAGAGAGGTAAAGCCACTTGCTCAAGATCACACAGGTAGAAAGTGGCAGAAATAGGATTTCACCCTGGCCTGACTCCAGAGCAAATGCTTTGCCTCTTGTATCATGCAATCATCCCAAGCAGAACTGTTAAACTCTGTCCTTGATATCTGGGGTGCAGGTTTGTTGGGCTTGGGGGAACATCTGTTGTGAAGGGTGAGGACAAGGTAGAAAGGAAATGCTGGCTTCCATTTCTGCTGTTCCCTGGGAGGTTCCGGGGCCCTGGCAGGTAGAGCTGGAGGCTCAGGGTAGCAGCAGGGTGATCAGGGCAGGTCCAAGAAGCAGGGTCATGGGATGATAATGATGCCCCTTTCTTTGTAAGAGTCACTTTGATTTTCGGGCTGTTGACAGTGTGGCAGGGGAAAATGGGCCCATGCTAGATGCTACCAGTTCTGATTTCAGAAATGTTGAATCTGGAGAGAATGTTCGTCTTTGAATTAAATGAAATATGGTGGCCGAGCAGTAGCAATAATAACATGAAGACCATCTATTGAGCACTCACTCTGTGCCAGGCATGTGCTCAGGGCTTTCGATGTATTTGGTTTTTTAGCCCTCACAGCAACCCTGTGCATTAAAAGTACTATTATTTCTTTCCCCCTCTTATAGCTAGGGAAATTGAAGCACAGCAAGGTTTAGCAATTTGCCCAAGGTCACACAGCTGGTGAGAGGTTCAGACCCATGATGCCTGGCTTCCATGCCCTAATTACTGACTAGTGATTGTGCCTTGTATGCTTCTCAAACACAGTCTATCCCAAAGACAGGATAGGTCTCCAGGGCGAAGAGCTCACCTCTGGCAGGAAGGGAGCAGGGAATGGGGATCACAGGGGCTTGCTGGGAAGGATTCCTTCCCTCCATCATTCATGCACCTAACAAATGTTTATCAACACCAGCTGTGTCCTGGCACCAACCACTGTTGTCAGGCTGTAGCAGCAAAGCACTAGTCCCTGCCTGCCTATGGCTTCCTCTGGCTGAGCGACAGACCCCTGTCAAGTCCCTAAACGGAATGTATGAAGGTGCACATGGGCAGAGCCTTAAAGGAGAGGCCATGGTTCATGTGGGTCCCTCACTGGGGCCATTGAGATCAGAAGGGCCTCCAGATCTGACACCTGGAGGGCCGGAGCAGGGAACCAGGTGGGGGGGGGGGAGGGAGAGGGTGTCTTGGCAGAGGAAGCGGCCTATGCAGAGGCCAGAAGGCAGGTAGAAGCTGAGGCCTGAAGGAGGCCAGGGTGGAGCAACGTGATGGGGGGCCAGGAGGTGCTAAGTCTGGAGAGACAAGGCCAGGCAGAGCTCAGGGGACGCGGAACGTTCTGGGGGTGGTGCTAAGAACAGTGGGCAGGCAGAGCAGAGACCCATAAGGCCTGAACTTGGAAAAGTTTCTCCGGTGTCCTGTGGAAGTGGGTAAAAATACCAGCAAGGACATGGAGGGCCGGCAAGGAGGGGAGGGAGCAGGGGCATGGCTCCGGCACTGGTGGGGGTGGGCAGGGATTTGTGAGTGAAGTACCCAGAATCTGGGGCGACAATGGCAGTGGCGTGTATGTAGAATGTGGGACTGAAGTTAGGAGGAGGAAGTCCCCTTTCCTTTGGAGGGTCATGGAAGGTTCTGCAGAAGAGGCAGCCTTTGAGCTGGGCCTTGGGATTTGAACTCATGGGGTCCAAGGAAAGGGCATTTCTAGAGGTGGGAACAGCATGAACAAAGGCCAGGAAGCAGGCTTATGTAAAGCTCCATGGAGCAGGGAGTGGGGGTGGGGGGGTGGGAGGAGGGTGTCATCCCCACCACCACCACCACCACCACCACCACCACCACCACCACCACCACCAAGGCCAGCTGAGGAGCCTGCACTTTGATCCCGGAGAAGCCTAGTGCTGGAGCGGACTTCCTGCCAATCTGGGAGATGCTAGCCTACCACCTGCTCCGGGGTGAGCGGAGGTGAGAGCAGCTCAGGGCCAGCATTCAAATCCTGCCTCCGCCCCTTGTGGGCTGTGTGGCCTCAGACCAGTTTCCGAACCTCCCTGAGCCTCCGTGTCCGCGGCCATGAGTGGGGTCGACAGTCCTCACCATGGACTTGTGACCCTTCCTGGTAAGGCATTGGACGCACAAGGCCTGCCACCCGAGAGGGAGCAACTCCAGGAGTTCCAGTGATTATTAATCAAAGGCAAATGGAAACAATTCCTACTTTCCTTCATTTGTAGTTCCCTATGAAATCAGGCAAACCAAAAAAGCCAAAATGTTCAATGCTGGTTATTCTGTGGTGAAGCCAGCTCATACCTAGTGAGCGGCTGGATCAACCCATACAGTTGTTCTGGACAAAAATTAAACAGTGTGTGTCCAGAACCATGAAAATGTTCATAATCAAACCTGGTCATCTCACTTAAAAGGAAATAACCTGTAAGAAGGAAACTAATTGCGAGCACCATATTTCATAGCCCATCAGGCGCCACTGATAGTAGATGTGCCATTATTTTGTCCCATGGAGAAAATAATGCTGCCATTTATTGTGACGTAATGCGACCGAACGCTGAAACCGGTCATTCGTGAGACATTCAGATTTCAGGAAAATTCTGAGAAAATGTGGTCTTCAAATTGGTGATAAAGGTGCTAAAAATGAGGAGTAATCAGTAGATGCAATAGTGAGAGCATTAACTTCTTGAGGAAGTTTCTTGGCCCTTAAGAAGGCATAAATCTGATGCACGTAACTAGTGGGAAAAGTAAGATACAAAATTGTCTGCCGTCTTTGATTATAATTAGAAAGAGACCTCAGGCGGTCGAGAAGTCTGGTGTGCTGGGATCATCGTGAATTTCTTTTCTTCTGCTCGAGTTTTCACAATGCTAAAAGAAATAGATGGAGGTTAAAGGTCTGCTCATTAGGGTGAATGACAGCAGGTAAATCTGGGGACGGGGGTGGGGGATGGGGGTGGAGGGGTGGGGGGTGGGCTGTGCAGGGGGGTCTGAATGAAGCCAGGGAGCTGGTGGGGTGGGGGGAGGGGTTAAAGGCACAGAAACAGCAGAAGCACAGAATTGGGATGTGGCACAGAGGACACACTTTTGGGGGAGGGCACTGACAACAATTGTGTGTCAGGGGCGGGGGACAGGAACCTTTTTGTCGTGACACGGAGGCCAGTACAAGTTGCTGGCAAGAACTGGGGAATATTGGGTCAGTCCCACCTGTAGCAACTGAGACTCTGTTGATTCAAAGGACAAGTTCCTTTGAATGATTTACCCTTGTGGAGTTAATTGTGTTTTTTAAAAAATTGTTTTAATAGAATTGCTTTTAGGAGCTTTTGAATTGTCCGGCTGCCCTGGTGTTTGAGGGGAAAATGATGGTGTCGTAGGAGAAACGGGCGGAGTTTTTCAGACCTGTTTTACCCACAGCCAGCTCTGCGGAAAGCCCTTCCCACCTCCCTGTGCCTCAGAGTTCCTCTTCCGTGAAATGGGAACAATGATCCTCCCTCTTGGGTTGTGAGGATCAAAAACAGCTCACGGAGCCAGGGCCAGGCTACAGCAAAGACTCAGCCTGCTCGCTGGGTCATGAGGCCGAGCTGGGTTCTTAGCCATTAGCTGACCTCCTCCCTGGATGATCTCGTGTCACCAGCCACATCTGGGGAACCTGGGAGCCAGTGTGCTTAGAAGTCGCAGTAGCCCTTTGCACATTTCTCGTGAGGCGTCTGGAGGCTTCAGGTTTATTTACAGTGCTGGTACTCCACTTTGGCTGCACATGGGAGATCCCAACACCCAGGCCACCCCCAGACCAACTGAATCACAATCTTGGGGCCTGGGACCCAGGCCTTGGGTTTTTTAAAAGCTTGCAGGTGGTTCCAAAGTGCAGCCAGGGCAGAGAGGCACTGGTTAGACTGTGGCTGGGTCGGGTTGCTCTCTCCATGGGCGAGAGGGGCATCCTGAATTCTGTTCGCCCCATCTTTTCCCCCCACCCGGCCAAAGCATTGCTAAGACACTGGGGCTGGGAGTTGCCTGGATGACTCGGTCACACTGGTGACAGGTCTTCGTTTCTGGCTGAATAACTGGGTTTTTTTTCTTGCTATGTTTTCATTTTCTTTATGCTTTCATAATAAAATAATGTGACTTATGCTTCCCAGCTAACATGGCTGATGTCACATACGTTGGACAGGGCTGCGTCCTCTCTGGCGGTCATCTCCCGACCCCAGGGACATAGACTGGGTGCATCCTCCCCATGCCTCTTTCAAACTCAGCTCACTGGTGACTCCTGAAATCCATTAGTGGGCTGCTATCGGTCGTAAGCGATGAAATAGAATAAAAATGGAAGCCACAAGAGGGCTCACACTTAGAAACTTTGGTTGTAGAACACACGTATGTCAGTGTGTATGAAAAGGCAGGTTTAAAGTGTGTTTTTCTTATGGAGTAACACTGGGCTGAGCTCCCTGCACAGCGCTGAGCTCCTCACAGCGGGGAGCCCGGCCCATCCAGGGTGGTGGTCAAAGGGGTCCTTGCAAGAGGAGGGGGCTCTGGGCCAGACAGCCTGCCTCCTAATCAGAGCTCTGCTTCTCCCTGGCCGTGAGCCCTGGGGCAGATTGTTGGGCCTCTCCTGTAAATGGGAATGTTTCAGTCCCCTTCTCCTGAGGCCAAACAGTGTGTTGCAATGTGTCACCTGAGGGCTTTGTAAGGAGCTCAGAAGTGGCAGGTGCTGGGGGGCGGGGGTAGTTAACACTACGGCTCCTGCTATGGGATGTTCTTTCCCCTCATCATCTCCAGCCAGCCTCGCCATCCTCTCGCCTCCCCGGGTTGGCAGATGACTCTCATGAAGACAGGAGGGATCCTGACCCCGCAGGAAGAGGAGGGAAATGTTGCCGCATCTCTGGGGGGAGCCTCGGCCTCCCGGTCGGGTTCCTCAGCCTGTAAGCAGCAGTCCCCCACCAGCGATGGTTGTTTTTGTCAACCTCAGACTTCCTCCCCACCCTAGAGAAGGAAAAGCTGCCACGCTTATTTAAAGACTTCCCTGATTTTAAAAATAGGCATTCCTCAGAACACACATCCCCGGGGGGCTGGCAGGGGGAGGCGGCACTGGGGTAGGTCACCTTGCTGCTGGAAGTCGCCCTGCCTCCCCCACAGAGGAGAGGTTTGCTGGGGGGGGGGGGGGGTCATTCCACCATCCAGGCTGTGTTCAGCAGGCAACAGCAGGCTGCCGGGCAAGAAGGGCCCTGATGGTGGGTGACAGTCTCAAACACAGGACTCACTCAGTTCCTCCAGGAGCGAGTGGTGACCGTGTGGGTCCAGTGTCCACTGCAAAACCTGGGAGAGACGCTGTGCCCGCGGTTTCTGCTGGGGGCTGGTCACAGGGGCCCCTTCTGTCCAGCACTTGCAGAATTCCAGACTCCCCAAAGGAAAGCAAGTATTCAACATCAGCCCCGTTGTGGACACAGTCTAGGCGCCGTGAGCCGTTCATATCAGGGAGTGGTGGAACTTTCCAGATGCTAGCCAAGGGCCAAGCAGGCCTTTCAAAGGACAGCAGCCTCAAGCCTGTTCTGCTCAGGGAGTGACAGGATTAGATTTTGGGAGGTGGAGGTGAGGCCGGGGCGGGTGGCAGAGGTTGGGAGAAGTAGGTGGTACGGGGCTTCGTGATGAGTAGGCCGTAGGGGGAGGAGGAGGGAAAGTTGGCGCCAAGGGACAGCTCCTCTGAGGATGTTTTAAGTGCCCCGGCCTGGAAGACAAGAGACCCAGGCACAGGTCCAGGAGTGTCTGCTGACTGGAGGCATTTGCCTTGTTGTAGGGTCTCAGTTTCCCCATCTGCCACGGGAGGGCAGATTGCACCTCAGAACCTTGATCCTACCTTTCACAAAATCCTCTGCTGTTGCTTCGCAACATCAGCTTTTCTGCCATATTTTCCCCTCATTGCGGAGCGTTATAGAAAGAACAAAGCTGCTAGACTTGAGTTCATGTGCTGGTTCTACCACTTATGTTTCTTTGTTTTTAGGTATCTCTTCTGTTCCATTGTTTTGGTTTTCTGATCCAGGGATTCCAATAATGTATATTGGTTCATTCTCCTTCCTGCCTGACCCCCAAATACTTCATTCACCATTCAATTCTCTGTAGGCAGGATCCCCCTCCAAAAATGGCTATTTCTTACGGTTGAATCTAATAGAATAAAATTTGAAAGTTTCTCTTCACCCTCCAACCCAACCCCACTCCCTTCCAGAGGGAACCATTTGGTTTGGGTTATTGATTTTTGTCTGCTTTTTTAAAGATTTTATTTTAGAGAACAGGGGGAGGAGCAGCGGGAGAGGGAGAGAGAACAAGAGAGAATCTCCAGCAGACTCCATGCCAAGCGCAGAGCCCGACACGGAGCTCGATCCCAGGACCCCGAGACCATGACCTGAGCTGAAACCAAGAGTCAGATGCCTAACCGACTGAGCCACCGAGGTGCCCCGATTTTGTCTGTT